TGCAAAACATGTTTTGCGATATCTCTTATTTCTCATGTTTGAGAGACAATCACAGACATCCTTTAAGAATTACATATAAGGTTTTGAGAAATAATACAAATATCAATTAAACCTATTCATAATTTATCCCCATAAAATATCACAATGTTTTCCTTTTCATTAGTTTTTCAGTATGTCCCCTACCATTTTACATATATTACCACACTGAACGATCTTGAAGCAAAACTAAAAAAAAATAAATATAAAACATCTTTATTAGAAATAGTATCTCAACGAAAGAAATCTATAACTGAATAAACTGATATGAACTACAATATAATATAACTCATTGATTATCAGTAAGTAATGATAATAATCTATTTAGTATTGGTGTACACCAAAAGACATGTAGAATCATATATTACATGCAAAAAAAATGAAACTAGTACTATGGGTTACTTTTTAATATTTAGTTGCAGTAATAAAAAATTAATGTTCTTTATTCATACTGATAAAAAGTAAAAACTGAAATCAAACAAACCAATCCAACTGCTGATAACGTTCTCAAATTTTTATTAAACATTACCATCCCTGTGCTCAAATAAGCTTCATTTTTGTAAATATACATTCCTAATCAAATAATTTTATATCCAAAAAACTACCACAATGGTTTTGTGGGCATTAAACTTGACATTCTAATATGACGTTCTTCAAACGCTTTGAGTACACACCTGTGGTAAAATTCAAATAAATTCATATGTCAGCTGATAGGAAACGTCATAATTTGTTTGGGCTGTTTCAATCCTACTCCCACGTATGCTTTTTATGAATGATTTACCTCACGTCAGATGGTGTAAATGACGTCATTGAACGATGACGTAAGAATGTAAGAATTTTACGGGAAAAAGCACAAATGGGAAACTGAAAGTCGTCAAAACATGAAAACATAAACAAACGATGGTAAGAATTTGTATAATGTCCTTATCTTCTTAAATGAAAGTAAGATAGTCAATTAAATTCATCCAATTCTGTCTAAGTATGTTATTGTATATCGTTTAATGTCACTTATTCAATTTTCTTGGTCGTGTACGTCAATATTAATAGTGTTTTCAATTACGGGAACAGCAAACATTTCCCTTCACATAGAACGCTTCGATCCAAAAGAATTGCTGTCTTTGTCCTCTTATAATGGATTTATTCATGAGGGCTTGAAATTATATGGATTTTACCACAGGTTGGCCCTTTGTGCTGATATTTTACCCCTCACTGTCGCTCTTGGTAAAATATTTAGCATAAAGGTCCAACCCCTGGTAAAATCATGATAAATTCAAGCCCCAATGAATTATTTCTTAAGAAGCCACTCATATTCTGTTGTTAAACTTAATATTGTAAACTGTAAAGAGACTGATATCTTGGTTTCTTTAATTTTTTCACTTTTTTCCCAAACGACTGTAAAAAAATTGTTCTCCTCACTATTGAAATATATGTTCTCGGCAAATGATTGATCGAAATTTAATTATGACATCAAGTTTTCTTGGTTTCTTCTGAATTTCCTATTGAGAGGTCATGAAAAAAGGCAACCATGCCTGATGACGTCACATATAAAGAACACAAATCATTGAAAAGGAAGGATAAAATCATTAGAGAAACAGATTCCACCACTATAACTCGTGTATTACGATATTTCTCCACTCTCAACAGTTAAATTTTGATTATTTAAAAAGCTTGGCAAGCCTCGCGCTTTAAACATTTAAATTTAACTGTCTCTTGTGGAGAAATATCGTAACACACTTGTTGCAGTGGTGGAATCTATATATATCACTTTGAGCTTCTGCGAAATTGGTCTTAAAAGCGTTATAAAATATATAGGGACCTGAATATGGTTGTAAAGATACTTGTAGTAATATCTATATACCCTAGCAAAATCTGTTGTGGAACAATAAAAAATAAACCTACTTGAGTAATTTGTTGTGTACATGTTATCGTATGCATTGAATTTATCAAGTGTTTTAATTTTTTATCACTTTTTTTTTCCAAAAGTATTATTGATAGCATATATAGAAATTTCGTCAAGTGACTTAAAAATGTCCCTCCTTGATTTCTCAATTTTTAGTGAGTGACCTTTTTATAAAACTACATAAACAAGATTGTAAACTGTGCAATAAAAAAACGATCTTGTGATACCTAAAAAAAGAAAAATTGTTCTGTAAAACACATTTTTGTTTCATAAAACATGCATTCAAATTTAATTGATTGATTGATTGATTGACTGATTGGTGTTTAACGCCACTTTCAACACTATTGTGCTATTTCGTTGCGGTCAGTTTTTATTGGCGGAGGAAGATGGAGTTCAAATTGAGGATCTGTTCTTAAATTTTGCTAAAAGTTTGTCTGATAACTTTCCAGGGACTTGAGTGGGAATGTTATTTCTCTGTCAAGTAGAGTGATCAGAACATGATGTCATAAGCCAACGTCATTGACATTGCCTAGAAAAACAGGACTAAACAGGTTATCTTTGGTCTTTCAATTTGAGGAAGTTCTCAGCCTTTGATGAGATTGAAGCCGACAAACTTTCTCTCGTTTTCAAAACCATTGATAATCTAAAAATATGTATCTGATGATATATCTAAAAGTATTCAGTACACAATTAATATTGAATCTAAAATAAAATTTAATGATGCATTAAATAAATAGTCATCAAACCAAACAAGACCAAAGAGGTCTAAATCATTTGAAATTTACAGAAATGTAATAAAAGTTATCTTTAAATATTTAATGTAGTACAGCAAACAAAATGAGATTCAAATAATGCAAGTTTTAAATAAAAAGAACATGTAAAAAGAACATAATCAGATACATCAGACTGAATATTAAATAAAAACAAATTACGATCTTCAATCAGACATGGTACTTCATAGAAAAACTTAATTATGGGGGAATCCTACATATAAAACGTTTATGGCAAATTATGGAATAATTTGAAGTTATCAATAAAAACATTGAATTTTTTTTTAAAAATAACTCAATTTCTCAAATGTATTTCGATATTGTATCACTTAGAAATATAATGTGTGGTATGATTGCCTATGAAAACTATCCATGAAATACCAAAGGAGCAAGATGTGAACAATTACATGTCACTGAGTGGCCTTCAACAATGAGAAAACCCCAATCTGTAAAGTAAGCTATAAAAGGATCTAGGATGACAAAATGTGAAACAACTTTATAGCAAGAGGAAACCGACGTCTTGCTTTATAATACAACAATACATTAACTACAAATACACAATTAATAAAGCAAGAATTGCTGAACAGGAATTCTGCAAATGTTCTTTTGTTAATGTTGAATTATACAGCCATGGAATACACTTAACCCAAATCAAATGTTACACCTAAATCACTGACAAAAATCAAAAGAAGCCACAAGGAATAAGAATATGTAAGTTTTTTAAAGGTTGTAATTCAGAAACTACTATGTGATATTTGATCAACTAACAAAGCTTTCAAGCTAATCCATTGGATTTCAGGAAATGCTGCAACTCAAGTAAAAGAATTATGTCAGGTCTTTTACAAAACTTTGAGTTCTAATTGGATCACTTTTCACAATCATAAAACATTACCATTTTTATTTTTATTTTAACGTATAAAAAAGTAAGAACAGATACCATTCAAATCACAATCTTTGTTGATTAAATGCTTCAAGGGTTTGCTTTGTGTTTCTCTCAAAAATGCCCTTAGATGCATTCTAAAAAGCACCATGTGTGATGACAAATCTTGTCAACAAACTTATAAGAAGAGTATTAGTGCATTATGGTTTAATTTCTGTCAGCCTTTTACAATCTACAGATGGAACTATCTGTATGTCTACAAGTAGGATGGTCAACCTATTCTTTATTGTAACCTAGAACTATCTTTCTGTCTACAAGTAGGATTGTCAACCTATTCTTTATTGTAACCTAGAACTATCTTTCTGTCTACAAGTAGGATTGTCAACCTATTCTTTATTGTAACCTAGAACTATCTGTATGTTTACAAGTAGGATGGTCAACCTATTCTTTATTGTAACCTAGAACTATCTGTATGTTTACAAGTAGGATTGTCAACCTATTCTTTATTGTAACCTAGAACTATCTGTATGTCTACAAGTAGGATTGTCAACCTATTCTTTATTGTAACCTAGAACTATCTTTCTGTCTACAAGTAGGATTGTCAACCTATTCTTTATTGTAACCTAGAACTATCTGTATGTCTACAAGTAGGATTGTCAACCTATTCTTTATTGTAACCTAGAACTATCTTTCTGTCTACAAGTAGGATTGTCAACCTATTCTTTATTGTCACCTAGAACTATCTGTATGTCTACAAGTAGGATTGTCAACCTATTCTTTATTGTCACCTAGAACTATCTGTATGTCTACAAGTAGGATTGTCAACCTATTCTTTATTGTAACCTAGAACTATCTGTATGTCTACAAGTAGGATTGTCAACCTATTCTTTATTGTAACCTAGAACTATCTGTATGTCTACAAGTAGGATTGTCAACCTATTCTTTATTGTAACCTAGAACTATCTGTATGTCTACAAGTAGGATTGTAAACCTATTCTTTATTGTAACCTAGAACTATCTGTATGTCTACAAGTAGGATTGTCAACCTATTCTTTATTGTAACCTAGAACTATCTGTATGTCTACAAGTAGGATTGTCAACCTATTCTTTATTGTAACCTATCTAGAAGTCCCAATTGGTTGATAATTTAATGTCTGCTTAACGTTAGGTAGCAAATATTACATGCTTATTCGGGATGATAGAAGTTCTGATAGAAAAGGGAAAATTGTTTGAGTCCATCAAATTCTTGGGGGAATTCATAGACATATGGGAGGTTATGTAAGCTATTCAAAGTAACATCCATCAATTGGCTTCAGAATCAGAGTGAGGAAGACACTTAGAAAACTTTACAGATTGATAAATGACACACTTTTGGGCCAAATAAGCTTAAACAAAACAAATCCAATGCTATATATTAGATATAAAACACTTTAATGATAAATACTCTATAAAATCAAATCTGTTCTCAAAACACAAATAAATGATAAATCTGAGACTGTTCTCTAATATGCATTGACAAAATATAACAAGTCATCTAATAAGACAAAATGATTAACCAACAAATTATACAGACAACAATCATAAAAAGACAAAAATCATAGTTCAAGGACTGATTTAACATGTCTAATGGTTTTTTTTAAAGGACTACTCAAATTATGATTAGTATAAGGTATCATGTTCAATATTTCTATATAATTAAATAATGTAGTCACCAACCATTAAAGTGTTGAATGTTTGAGAAAATATCAATTAACTATGCTTATCAAGATAATTGAAAAATATTATTTCCTAGGAGAGTTTAGCATCATGTTTTGTTTTTGACTCTTAAAACTTTACTGATTTTATCGTGCTTAGACAATGCAATGCTCCTTTTGACCTAGTTCATTAATTGTTATTTTCAAAAGAATAATTTTTACGCAAAATTGGAATAACCTCAAGAGTGGTGTTCATTGAATTCAAAGCCTGATGGTGCAATTGGTTTTACATCGAATCATAGGAAAATCTTTTGTTTGAAGGATGGTTAAAACATTACTGCATGATCGGCTAAAAAAGCATAAATGCTTGTGGGAAAACATTAAATTTCAAACTGAGCAGTCTGTATCAACTTGGTTCACCTCTCTATAGTTATTAATAGAATGATGGTTTACCTTGCAAGTGTTACCAGGCCACCTAATTTTACCATGCAGATCTGCATAGATTTACATGTACATTTTCAGTAACATTGAATGCTATTAACTTTTAAACAGTTAAACAATGTAAACATAATAAATAAACAATGTCAACATAATAAATATTAATTAAAAAAAAAATAAAAAAAATGTTATTATGGATTTTTTCATGCCAGGAATATTTAAACAAGTTGAGAGCTGCTTCATAAAAAAATACATAGCAGTAAGGGAATGCCTATGGTCTGTAAGTTCTGTGAACAAAATTCGTGAGAATAGATCGTAGATTGTTCTTTATATGTTTAATGGAACAATCCCAATGTTGCTCCCCTGCAAATTAAGAACAGTAAACCACAATATAGTGTTTCTATACAGATTTGAAAGTCTTTACAAAAATTTATATACATGTTGATGGAAAATAACCTTGACATAATTTATCTGATGGTGTTTCCATACAAACTTCTGGATGAATAATGAAATGGCACAATAAACAATAATTACACTATTTCGTTGAAATCTGATATTGAGAGTTTAACAAATAATTAAACATTGACTGTGATAACCTTTACTATTGTAAATAAAATGTAGATCTGGGTAGAGTTTACAAAAGATGTTAACTATATTAAGCAGATTGGATAAAATTTCTAAAGCAATAAATAAACACAAAATTTGCATCACTTTAGAAAACAAAAAAAAGACCTTCAGTCAATTTAAATTTGTTTCCATGCAGGTAATTCAATATATTGAATACTTTAATAAAATTTTCTTTTTTAAGTGTAAACCTGGGTTGACAAAGTGCCTACCAAGTGTCCAAGTCTGGTATATGTTGAGTGAGTGGTCAGATCTGATGTCAAAAGGTACAATGAACATATAAAAAATAGCTGTTGCACATCAACAGGTCTGGTAAAACTTTCATAAACAGATAATTCTAGACAAAAAAAAAAAGGATATGTGAGATATACATAAATGGGATAGAAATCAACAACACAAATAATAAGAGAGCAACATACAGTCAATAGACAAGTGTCAATACAATACTTAAATTTACTCTTTGTTGGCTTAATATTTCTTCTTTCAAAGCATAGTAAAAAAGTCATAAAAAAACACTAATCCAAACTAAATGTAATAATTAAGGTAAATACATAGAAATGTGCTGATCACAAATATGAAGTAGTTAGACCCATTAGCCACAAATCCATCTATTTGTTAAAAAGCATCTCTTAGAATTTGTGAAACTTAATATTGATTGATTGATTGTAATTAATGCAACTTTCAGCACTCTTGGCTATATGATGGGGGCCAGTTTTTTATTGGTGAAGGAAGCTGGAGTGCCCAGAGAGTGAACTGCTGACCTTCAGTAGGAATACTAATCAATTAATTAAATGCACCTTGCTACAAGACAGGTTCCAACTATCAATATCAGTGTTGGGAGGCTGAAACCTAATAAAAAGAAAAAACATTTATAATCAGAATGTTGAAAACTGCCCAGCACTTATATTTTTTATCCATCATTTTAATCTTACTAGTTTATTTCTTCATCACTGAAAAATGCTACATTTAACAAATTGTGCAGCATCAAATCATTAGCTTAAAACATAATCTTAAATAAATGGGGAATGTGTCCATGGGACATAGATGATGCCCCTGCTTGCATATAACATTGTAAAGGGACATAACTCAAGAACTGTAAAAGTGACACCACCAAAATTCAAACTTGATCTGTGTTTTGTGGTAATAAGCATTGTGTATAAGTTTCATAACATTTGGTTGAGGCAAACTAAAGTAAGAGAACAGAAACGAAAATTTCAGCAATTTTTCCATTTGTAAAGGGGCATAACTCTAGAATGGTAAAAGTGACGCCACCCAAATTCACACTTGATCTGTGTTTTGTGGTAATACGCATTGTGTATAAGTTTCATATCACTTGGTGGAGGGAAACTAAAGTTAGAGAACGGAAACCAATTTTTGGACGTACGTACGTACAGACAGACAGACAAGGGTAAAACTTAATGCCCCCTCCACTACGACAGGGGCATAAAAAATTATAATATCTCATTTTTTTCAAACAGAACTTTCCTACTGTGCTTAAACAAAATATCGGCTAAGTCTTTTTATTCAACTTTAAGTATAAAGTACTTTTGTTCTTTACTGTAGATTAAATTATCCTTCCAGTCAAACACAGTGGTACGATGCATTATTTGTGAACTTGGGATTGGAAAAAGGTGAAAACCATCTCCAGCTAAATGGATGTCCAAATACTGACTTCAAACTCAACCAATAGGATCTCTTCTCAAGTTCACCAGAATCTTTCTTTAAATTCTCTATCCCCTGTAAGATACAAAGAAAAATGTCCATAGAAATTGAAACTGCATGCCTAAACAGTGTCATGAAAGTTCTAAATGGATTTTTTATGATGAATTTATTTGTAGGGTTTATGTTACAATGTGTACTGAGTAAACTTCTTGAAAATTATTAATGTTGGGAAAAACTACAAAATTTAAATATGATTATTTTTGTTTCAAACATTTATAAAAGCAGAATATTGAAAAATTGTAATTAGGATATAACATGTATAAGTTTAAGTATGTTACAAATCAAATATGTGAATTAAAGTAAAATCGGTGAACATAAATTAGACAGCTACAATGTAATGCCCTTTTAAATCTTTTTAAGTTTCATTTCTAGCCAACTATTAGGAAAATCAGGAAATTTATTTTTCATTTTTGTGGGGACAAGCTAGTTTCAAAAACATACGGAAACAGGATGTTTCTGCTTTGAATGGGGAAATAATTTTTTGACTGACAGAATATCAAATTAGTCACTACTGCCATGCATATCAAGTAACTTTCCTGCAGCAATAGTCAATTTTATGAGGAACCTTTCAAGCAGTGATATTCAATTTTATGGGGAACCTTTCAAGCAATGATTGTCAATTTTATGGGGAACCTTTCAACAGTCAGGGATATAACTCTATAGGGATATTACAGAAAATAACTTGCATGTGTTTTACAGATACTTTATGAGTTGTCTACTCTTTAATCCTTAAATTTTCTAAATCTGTAATAACATATGTTTGTTATTTGTAAAATAAATCATAAATATTTTGATTTTTAGTGGGCTCTAGGGAACTCTTGAAACTTTGTGCAGAAACTAAATGCATAGTCTTGATAACTAATTTTTGAATTAAATTAATACATTTTTCATTAACCATGGTAAATCAATGAGACAAGGCTTTTAAGAGATAAACTTAGCTGTAATAACAAGGCTTAGTTATTAAAGGCATGTAACTTGTTCATGTTGTTATATGAGACACTTTGGAATTACTGGGAAGCTTGCGCAGAACCTCATTACATGCTCTGATCATTATTTCTTACAATAAATTAAAATACATTAATTGTAATTAAGCATGATGAATGTCTGAGCAAATGCTTAGGAGTGATGTAGAGAAGCTGTAATAACACCCTTAAGTTATTATAGGCATATTTTTTATGTAATAACATAGGTGTACTATGCATGATTGGCAAACTATGAACTGTTATATATCTTTCTATAGTTTAGTATACATAAGGACAATAGTAATATCAATAGAACTTGTATACATTTTAACAAAACTAATGATGTATATTGTCTATTTGAAACATGTAACATACATATGTTATCACAGTTCTTTGATTTTTTAGTCCACAATAACAAATGTATGTTATTTTTCTGTAATAACCCAAAAGAGTTATATCCTTGACTGTTCAAGCAGTGATTGTCAATTTGATGACATATTTTTTCGCAGTGAAAGTAAATTTAATGAGGTAACGTTCCTGCAGTGATGTTTATTTTAAGAGTTAAAAAAACATTTTTATACTGCATAAGAATTTTACAGATGGCAAATTAAGAATGAACTTGCCACATTAGAAGGTTAAGTATCTTCATTTATTTTTTCGTGGATATCAATTTTCATGAATTGAGGAAAATTGTTTTTCTGTAGATATGTCATTTTGTGGTTTTGCCAAATTCTGCATAAATGCCTTTACAAAATTTGTAATCCATTGAACATTTAAAGTCGTGGTTCACTTATACCCAAGAAATCCACAAATAATAATGAATCCACAGTATTTTGATTCTATACGTCAATGTCATGTGATTTTCTAGAGACAGTTGTGTCTTCAGTTACAGTGATTTTTTATGTCGTGTCACTCTTAGATCAGATCAGATTATAATCATAACCATGTTGACAATATTTTGGTGTTCATCCCATATGAAGACAAATAATATATAGAATAATGTTGTTTACAGCTATAATTGTTTTAGGTGTTCCAGTTTTATATGAAAAAAAGCTTAAAGTGTCATAATGAGATAGTCCCTTTTGAGTAAAAACTAATGAAGTAAACCTTAAACTAGTCTGACACAATTCTATATTGAAAAATTAAATTTTTTCCATAAGAAATATCTGTCTGTAGAGTAATATCAATCATCTCTGATTAAATGGTATTTTCCTGTCTGAATCATATTTTTTAATTCATTTTTTCCAATTACTAAGCCTGCTTTGACGAGCTTACGTCAAAATCAAACTTTTTCATTTCAACATTAAGTAAATTGTAAATCTGAATAAGTAAAATCAATATTATTAGCCAAGGCTTGGCATGTCTTTATTACAGACAAATTAAATAGGAGTATATGCTATATCAAATCAGACTTTGAAATAAGCTCTAAATTCTATATTGTTCATGTTTAAAAATTTCACTAATGAACATACAAAAGATTTAAATGAGTCTTTTAAAGGAGTGAATATAGTTGTAATAAATTTGGAGTCCTACTGCAAAACTGATAAAATGATTCCTGCCAAGTAGCAAACAGTTCGACAATTTCCTAACAAAATGTAAATGTTACGTTTCAATAATCTACAAAATCTTGTAATTAAGTTTGTTGAATCCTCAGAAACTGTCAGAAATTATCCAGATATCTTCAAATGTCAAATAAATGTATTGCCAATCACTGTTAGTGCAAATATTGGGCAAGCGTTTCTTCTACACATGATAAACTAAAGCTTCTAAAGAGCTTACATCCAGTGGCTACGTGGGATATATACTCAGTCAGTTATAAATCAATACTGATTAAAATAAAATTTAGTAAAAGTCTCACAATTGTTTCAGCTTTTGTTTCTAGCTGCATGTTTTGATATTCTTATAACATGCTGTCAAAACCTTTGGCTGATAATATATCAGTACTTACCATTCAGGAATCGTCGAAAATATGTAACAACATGAACAAAGCTGATATCTAATATATTTGCAGTTTGTTTCGAATGAAAAAGGAAATTTCTTGTGATTTTGGACATAAGCTTTGTTCATAGATATAAATTGTACAGAATGCACTTTGGAAAAAGGTAAAAAGGGACATAACTATGAATGCATTGCATAATATAATGCTTATCTTCAAAAAGGTTCCCAAGACAGGGTAACATAACACAGTGTTTGATACTGTCCCACCAGGGTTACAATACTGCACCATTACTCACAATTGAGCAGTTCAAGAGTGAATCTTCCTGGCAGAATTTAATGTGTTAAAAAGAATATATTTAAGTTTACAGTAAGAAATATGATTATTTTTAATCTATTTATGGGCACATCTTTTTTCTTGGGATAAACATTTTCCCCACTTTAATCAAAATCAAACTAATGTTGTCAATAACATACAGATTCAAGAATATTTTTTTGAAACTCAATGTTAAACTTTTAACTTCCCTTTTGTAACAAATCATTTTTCTTCAAGAAATTTAGAATCAAATAATTCATTTAAAAAATAAAACCTTGTCCAATCACAAATATGAATTGTTTTGAAATAAATAATTTTGTAAATAATCAATGATCATTTCAAATATGTTTGACCAGGGCTCACACCTCTTCAGAATCATAGGGAGAAGTGACTTCTCTTTTTGAAATTGAGAGGGAGAAGTGGTGAGATTTGAAAGAGAAGTGCTTGTTCGCTCGCAGCGCTACAATGTTTGGTTTTAACTATAATACATTTGAGGTCCATATGTATCTTATTTTTTTTATATTGTTCAGTTTGTACCTGGGTATACAATTAAAGTAACTGTTCAAATTTAAAGTTGTTAAATTTAATCATATCTAGTTGCACAATCATATGAGTCCACTTTTCAGAAAAAACAATTAAATATCTGGCACTAATAAAAAAGATTTTTTTTATATCAAAAAGGAAAAGAAAGTTGTTATATCAATTAAAAAACTACTCTGTTATCATGTTCATGAAACTGAGTATTTCTCATTAAAAAGATATATAAATTTAACAGTTAAGCTTGGACAAAATATAATTATATTAGTGTAATAGTCCCAGAATTGAGCAACTTTAACTTATAAATTGAAACAATTCATATACATGGAAATATATACATTAATCAAGAAGATCTAACCAAAAGTATGTTAATGCGTGTGGAATGCGTAATTTTTCCTTTTGGGATCAATTTTTGCCTGTCAGCAGTGCCAATCATGCGTCCGTAGTCATTATCGTAAAAATCCGGATTTCGGTCATAGCAGGTCCGTTTCCAATGAAATCCCAACTCCGATCCGTAGTTGTACAATATAATGCCCAATAATTTAAATGGCGGACTAAGAAAAATTTACAAAAAATAAACAATGTTTGACACGCTATTTGGAAAGGAATATGACGTTTTTAATGCAATACAAGGATAACAAATTTACTTCAGACAAATTTCATCAAGTTCTAATGAAGTACATGTGTAACAACTTATTTTGCCGAAAGTTAGAATGATTTGATGTACGCTCTCCGAGTAACAAGTACAGGAAGTGATAACTAGAGGATCTCAAGAGCCTGTGTCGCTCACCTGTATTTTACTGATGCTTTGGAAATCATGTAAAATAAGGTTAAAATCATAATTAATAGTATTAGATATTAGATATTATAATGATATCTAAGATAATAACAAAAAACTGCAAAATTTCTGTAAAATTACAAACTCAGGGGCAGCAACCCAACAACGGGTTGTCGGATTCGCCTGAAAATTTCAGAGCAGATAAATCTAAATCTGATGAACATTTTTGCCACCTGTCAGATTTGCTCTAAATGCTTTAGTTTCAGAGATATAAACCAAAAACTGCATTTTACCCCTATGTTCTATTTTTAACCATGTCGGCCATGATGGTTGGAAGGCAGGGTCATCGGACAAATTTTTTAAACTAGATACCCTAATAATGATTGTGGCCAAGTATGGTTAAATTTGTCTTAGTAGTTTCAGAGAAAAAGATTTTTGTAAAAGATTACAAAAATTTACGAAAAATTGTTAAAATTGACTATAAAGGGCAATAACTCCTAAAGGGGTTGACTGACAATTTTGGTCATGACGACTTGTTTGTAGATCTTACTTTGCTGAACATTATTGCTGTTTACAGTTTATCTCTATCTATAATAATATTCAAGATAATAACCAAAAACTGCAAAATTTCCTTAAAATTACCAATTCAGGGGCATCAACCCAACAACGGGTTGTCAGATTTGTCTGAAACATTCAGGGCAGATAGATCTTGACCTGATTATCAGTTTTACCCAAGTCAGATTTACTCTACCTGCTTTGGTTTCAGAGATATAAGCCAAAATCTACATTTTACCCCTATGTATTATTTTTAGCCATGGATGCCATTTTGGTTGTTTGGCGGGGTCATCAGACACATTTTATTAAACTAGATACCCTAATGACGATTGTGGCCAAGTTTGGTTAAATTTGGCCCAGTGGTTTCAGAGTAGAAGACTTTTGTAAAAGCTAACGACGAAGACGACGGACGCCAAGTGATGAGAAAAGCTCACTTGGCCCTTCGGGTCAGGTGAGCTAAAAAATTGTTTTTATGAAATAACATGCCACCAACTTTGAAATCAATGCTTTAACCTCTTTTCTGAAGAAAATAAATTGTTTATGCCTTGAATATCTTTACTTTTAAATGAAAAATTGCTGTTTCATCGTCTTGGTAAAAATTGAATATTACCGATGACGAAAGTGACTGAAAGCGAGTATCGTAAACCACAGGGCGACTTGTTTTCGCTTTTGAGGATCGGGCAAAGTGAAGTGATGGACGGGAAAGCGACTTCTTCGCCCTAGTCGCCTGGTAGCCTGAGACCTGTGTTTCATCAAATAAAATATGAATCCTTTATTTTGTGATTTAAAACACTGGGAATATTTCATATCAAAGGGTCAAGCCATTCTCCATGCTACTTTTGGTGAAACAAGAATGTGTCCATAGTACATGGACGCCCCACTCGCACTATCATTTTCTATGTTCAGTGGACTGTGAAATTGGGGTCAAAACTCTAATTTGGCATTCAAATTAGAAAGATCATATCATAGGGAACATGTGTACTAAGTTTCAAGTTGATTGGACTTCAACTTCATCAAAAACTAACTTGACCAAAAACTTTAACCTGAAGCTGGACAGACAAACGGACGGGAGGTCGGACGAATGAATGAATGGACGCACAGACCAAAAAACATAATGCCCCTAGATGGGGCATTAAAACTCAATTCATTTAAATAATCAATGGTGCCATTAACCTCATGAACCTTGAAATGGGAAAAATGCAATTATATTATCTTAATACTCCATTGCAGCCTTAATGTTAGATGCACAAAATAGCTAGCATTGTGCATGTGTAAAAGGCCTCTACTATTTTTTTGGGAAGAGTTCAAATTATGAAAAATAAGCTGAAGTTTTATATTGACACTTCAATAGATATAAAAATTAAGGAAATACTAGCTATCAGTCACATACAGCCTTAAATAACAAAAAAATCCCATTGTCAAATATACAAGGCCTGACAAGAAAAATGTAATTGAAACCAAAATAAACTGTTATCACAGAGATATGTCTCGCCCTTCTGTAATTTTGATTATGCAAATGTTGAAGTTAAAATAGCAATACTTTAACATGTTTCATAAGTTATGCAAATATTCAAAGTCAATGAACCATGACTTGAGGTACATGGCTAAACAATCTCCATGTAAATGAGATGTGCCAAAGCTAATACAACTGCATACCAAATACCATTGACTTATCATAAGTCGTTCCCTTTAAACAAACCTAATTATAAACACAAACATTAACTTGTAAACTATGTAAAAGTTTCAAAGTCAATGAACCATGAAGAGGGGTGGGGCTATATAATCACCATGGAAACGATACTTGCAAATGCCAATAAATTTGCATATCAAATATCTTTGACTTAACATTAGCAGTTCATCTTAAACTGATCTAATCACAAACTAATACATGTAAACTAAGCAAAAGTTTCTAAGTCGATAGACCATGACTGAGGGGGCGGGCTAAATATTCTCCATGGTAATGAGATGTGCAATGCTTATACAACTGAATACCAATTAACATTTGCCTACCCTAAATGGTTCCCCTTGGAACTTACCTAATCACAAACTAATACATGTTAACTTAGCAAAATTTTCAAAATCAATAGACCATGACTAAGGGGGCAGAGCAAAATAAACTCCATGGAAATGAGATATGCCAATGCTTATACAACTGCATACCAAATATCATTGACCTACCACTAGTGGTTCCCCATAAACTGATCTAATCACAAACTAATACATGTAAACTAAGCAAAAGTTTCAAAGTCAATTGACCATGACTGAGGGGGTAGGGCCAAATAATCTACATGGAAATGAGATGTGCCAATGCTTATACAACTGCATACCAAATATAACTAGACCTAATCACAAACTAATACATTGTTGAAGATGCCGCCGACGCCGAAAACAGCATACCTATGTCTCGCTTTTTGACTCCGTCAAGGCGAGACAAAAAACTAATGGCCTGATTTATAACAAAACAATAACTTCATGGCAAAACATGACGTCATACCAATAAAGTTATAAACTGAAAGTTATTCTGTAAATTGTATGATTCAAATTCGGATAATATCTCATTAAAAATGGTTTTGAGGTAGGTGTTGTTTTATAATTTTGATTTTCATACATAAATCAATTATTTGCTGATTTCAGCAAGTCAATAAGGTGGCTTACTCTTTAGTTACAACAACACAATTATAAATTTGACAGTAAATAATAGCCTATAGCTATGAAAAAAATTGTTACATTAAAATTGCATTACAATTGGTGTTTTACTTACAGTTTCATCAGAACAGATAGCTGTTAGTTGAGTTCCACACATTATAGCTGTAAATATACCAAACAACAATCCCTCAAATATCAGGAAAATCAAGAAAACTGTGGTCGCTGGTGGGGAAAACCCTGAGCATACTGAAAAATAAACAAATAACAATTATACCTCAAATTTCAGGAAAATCAAGAAAACTGTGGTCGCTGGTGGGGAAAACCCTGAGCATACTGAAAAATAAACAAGTAACAATTATACCTCAAATTTCAGGAAAATCAAGAAAACTGTGGTGGTTGGTAGGGAAAACCCTGAGCATACTGAAAAATAAATAATAACTGTATAATATTATTCCATTTCAGTGGCAGATACTTTATTGATACCATAGTGTCATCAGAATAACAGACTGTTGACAAAATATGTAAACATGTCTTTGAGAGAAATGACTTGTTTCTCTGTCATTTATACCACAAATGTTGAAAAATACATAATCAAGACCCTTTTATACTCAAAGTCAATTTGGTGTCGAAAACTTTCTGATTTTAACTTGTGACTGAACCAAATACATGGGGAATTGGATAGATCTCATTCTTTTTTTTGACACCATGCGACTTCAATATGTTTTTCCTTTCCTTTTATATGTTTTCGCTACGTGAAACCCCTCAAATGAATCTTTTATAAAAACAGAAAATATTATACTATGGCTACAGCTATATATGCACCTCAGAAAAACAGAGCCATTCAAAACACCAACAATACAGATCTTATAAGTGACAATAGGCAGGATTTTGTAAGTTCTATATTCACAGGTACTTATTTTCTTTAAACAAAATGAATAGTACAAAAGTAACCTAGCATGTTTTTTAACAAATAGATCTTCATCCCAAATGTCTTAATTACCTTTACAGTCTTAATTGTGATAAGAGAAACACATTCAATCCATTGTCCAACTGTCATGTAATTGACTTAGAAAAAAAAAATTTTGTCATGATTTACAATATAGTTTCAAAATCTATACAATACTAGACAAGATCTTTTGTTGTAGTAAAAACAAAATTTGATAGAAAACTTATTGTCTGAAAATGTTTACCGGTACTTTATCTTCAAGATTAAGTAGTGATATTACAGTTTTCAAATTGCATTTTTCATATCAATCTCAGTCCAAAAATCATTGTAAAATATAAATGAGTATCATTTACACAATATATATTGTAAAAACAATTAGTTAATAAACTAGAGATTCTAAAGAGCCTCTGCCCTCACCTAGGTCTATGTGCATCTTCAACATTATACACTTCTGTTGACAGTTTCTCTCGATCTTATTTAGTGTTTGCCCAAAACACAAAAGATGGTAAAACAAAAATCATCATTTTAGGGCAATCACTCCTATCTACTAACTTTTTTGGCAGAATTTGACCTGATTGTTGATCTTGTCTAGCTGATCATCTTTGTTATCTAAAGTTTCTATCTATCTTTCATAGTTTTCAAGATAATAGAAAAAAATACCAAAAGTTGGTAGAAATCGTTATTAAAGAGCAATAACTGCAACAAACAGTCGACTGAAGAATTTCGGATATTAGACTTCTTGGTAGATTTTGTCTTGCTGATCACTTATGCTGTTTAATATGTTTAAAGTTTCTATCTTTCTATTGTTACATAGTTTTTAAGATTTTAGGCAAAAATGAAAAAAAAAATGGTAAAAATTGTCACTAAAGGGCAATAACTTTAATTATATAATAAGGAGTCAATTGATCAGTTGATTATTCCCTTCCATAGAAAATTTTCCTTGTACTGTGAGTGTTGTAAAATTGCAAACTATTGGCAAACAGAAATTAAAGTGGTTGCACTACTGAAGTAAAAAATTTCTCATACATGTTACAACTCAATATTATCTTTCCTTGCACTAATTTAGATTCATTGACTCATGAATAAATTAAATTCAAATGTTATATTCAGGAACTGCATACTAGTTATTAACAAGAATATATGTGTTGTAATGCTAATCACATCCCTATTTGTCATTCAAAGTATTGGAAAACAAGAAGTAGGTGTTCAACAGATCCAAAAGTCACATACATATAACAAGTCATCATTGTTAAGTGCTGACAGAATTAATTGTCATTCTATTCAGTAGTACTTGATATAGGTGTGAGGAAAGATTTAAAGTTGATCAACATATTGAATATTCAAAGTATCGGCAAACAGGAAGTTTGTGTCTGACAGATACAGTGCTCACATGTTACAACTCATCAATGTTAATCTGCCTACCAAATATAAAGACTTTATGCCTAGTTTACCTAAGAAATGTGTGATGGAAATATTTTTTGGACAATCAAGAGAACTGATATACAGAGGGACAAAGTGAATGCAATATAGAACCCACTTTTAGGGTGGGTATAACTGTACTTTTGGCAAATAAAATATAAAATAAAATATATACAGACAAAAAGTGCTTAAAACCTAAGCTTTAGATGCTCAGTTTTTAGTGTCGAACTACCTTAAATATTAAATCTAGTTCAATATTCATGAGAAATGTAATTAAGATGCAAATCTTGTGTTTTAATAGGGAAATTACCACATTGTTAAATGGAACATCAAGGCTGCTATTAAATATTTTATAGATAATTAAATAATGAAAGAATTTGTTTAGTGCTTGTAAGGTTAACAACCTCTTTGTAACTTGGAACTTTCTGTTCAAACCTTGACACAGCTGAGCTATAATCAGACAGCTTAATTACATAACAGCTGACACTTTTCATTGGCAAGAAAATTTCCTCTTTATATTGTCATTTTACATGTACTAAGAGTTTAGACGACAACTTATCTTGACAGTGTTTACGGCAAACCAAGTAATTGATAGATTTTTCTGTTTTTCTACAAATGTGAACATAAATTTTTGAAAGTTAATTATTTTCTTTTTATAGTAACTACAATTTTGGTAGATTTACCATATATACCACTAAGCATCAGCAAAGATGAAATGGAGTCAACAATATACATGCACAGTTGCTTCCTGTAAAATTTAGGTTCAGGGAGCCAAGACCCAGCAAGAAAATTGTACTGAAAATGTGGCCGTTTTATATCAAGAAAGTGTCACCTTTTAAATATAATGATAAGACAGCAACATTCCAATCTCAAATCATTTCAATAAGCACTTTTTAAGGTAAAACTTCTTGGCCATGCATGAATTAAAAGTTCTAGTTCAGTTAATAATGACAAGGGAGCAAAATATTTCCCTGTCATATAACCTTTAACAACCATGATTTTTCTTTTCTTTTCTTAAAATAAATATATATTAATTCAATTGATATAGTTTATAGCAAACAAGAAAAAAATCAGAATCTGTAAACTTGAATTTTGTGAATGTGTGAATGTGAATGTGAATGATGTACATGATGTAGTTAACAGTATGAACAAGACCAATAACATGTCTGGACCTCCTTCAGACCAATAACATGTCTGGACCTCCTTCAGACCAATAACATGTCTGGACCTCCTTCAAACCAATAACATGTCTGGACCTCCTTCAAACCAATAACATGTCTGGACCTCCTTCAGACCAATAACATGTCTGGACCTCCTTCAAACCAATAACATGTCTGGACCTCCTTCAAACCAATAACATGTCTGGACCTCCTTCAGACCAATAACATGTCTGGACCTCCTTCAGACCAATAACATGTCTGGACCTCCTTCAGACCAATAACATGTCTGGACCTCCTTCAAACCAATAACATGTCTGGACCTCCTTCAGACCAATAACATGTCTGGACCTCCTTCAGACCAATAACATGTCTGGACCTCCTTCAGACCAATAACATGTCTGGACCTCCTTCGCTGCATGCAATTGATTGAGGTAACATGTATACTGAAGCATGACTGATCATTCCTTTTCATTGAAGCAAAGAAAATTTTAACGAAAATGAGTATTGTAAAACTTCAAACTATCAGCAAACAAGAAGTGGCTGCAGGGCAGATGTAAAAATTGCTTACACCCCTCACCTCAACATTTGCAGACGAAATATAAAAGACGAAAGTTTTCTACCCAAGGTCTTTCTGACTGACAGAGTGTAGCAGTTACTAGACCTGCATCGTCACCTTATGTACTAGAAACTGCAAGGTTGCACATATATCAAAACTAGAAAGTATAAAAAATCATAAAACTATAATATGTGTCCTTTTATCATACATGTCATATATTTTAAAAGGTTAACATCATTATGAGCATGTGTACTAAGTTTCAAGTTAATATAACTACAACTTCATGGTATAAAACTACTTAAATGCTTTTATCTTCGTCATATTTGTCCTGTTATGGATAGTTGTCTCATTAGCAATAAAACCACATCTCCTTATTTTTATATGCAAAAATAAATGGGGAATGTGTCCCAGATGATGCCCCCACTTGCATATAACATTATAAAGGGATATAACTATAGATTGATAAAAGCGATGCTACCCAAATTCATACTTGATCTGAGTTTTGTGGTAACAAGCATTGTGTATAAGTTTCATAACATTTGGATGAGGCAAACTTAAGTTACGGGAAAAAAAATTTCAGCAATTTTTCCATTTGTAAAGGGGCATAACTCTAGAACGGTAAAAGTCACGCCACCCAAATTCAAACTTGATCTGTGTTTTGTGGTAATAAGCAATGTGTATAAGTTTCATAACATTTGGTAGAGGCAAACTAAAGTTAGAGAATGGAAACCAATTTCAGGACGTACAGACGAACAAGGGTAAAACTTAATGCCCCCTCCGCTAAGGCGACAAATAAAAATCTGTAACCTGAATGTGGATGAACAGACTAAACGATGGATGCACAAATGGACAGAAATGCAAACTGGAAAGTAATATGTCCCCTACTATCATTGATTATAGTAAATAAGGCATTAAATAAAACAAACCAAAACATATCAACTTTTAACACAAGAGTGCACACGCTGAAATGTCTCGCCTTCTTTACTAATCATTGATATTATGTTGATAGTCCTAAATATAAAGCTTTATTACAACTGTCACATAAACTTAACATTAACCAAATAAACTAAACATTGACTAATGAACCATGAAAATGAGGTCAAGGTCAGATGAACCATGCTAGGCAGGCATGTACAGTTAACAATTCTTCCATACAACAAATATAGTTGACCTATTGCTTATAGTTTAAGAAAAACAGACCAAAACACAAAAACTTAACACTGAGCAATGAACCTTGAAAATGAGGTCAAGGTCAAATAAAACCTGTGACACTGACATGTACATCATAAAATATTTCCATACACCATTTATAGTTGACCTATTGCGTATAGTATTAGAAAAAAAGACCAAAACTCAAAAACTTTACTTTGACCACTGAACCATGAAAATGAGGTCAAGGTCAGATGACACCTACCAGTTGGACATGTACACCTTACAATCATTCCATATACCAAATATAGTAGACCTACCTACTGCTTATAGTATCTGATAAATGGACTTGACCACGAAAACTTAACCTTGTTCACTGATCCATGAAATGAGGTCGAGGTCAAATGAAAATTGTCTGACGGGCATGAGGACCTTGCAAGGTACGCACATACTAAATATAGTTATCCTATTACTCATAATAAGATCACTATCCCTATGTCGAGCTTTCTGCGACAAAAGTCGCAGGCTCGACAATAAAACCAGTATTTATCATATAAAACTTGCAATTGGTATGTCAGCTTAATAGTACCTAATGATACGACAGCTTAATAGTATCTAATGATACTACAGTCTCTAAGAACTAAATACATTTAGATCAATCAATGTATAATTTATAAAAGTTCTTTGACTCCAGGAAATCTATAATTAATATTTTTTAGTGCATATTACATGTTCAATGTCAAATTTAAATATCAGCACAGTCATGACAGTTGCAATTATACACCAGAATGTAATAATCTTGAAAATCTAATACCAGCAATAATTATACATTGAGAAAAGTTTGATGTAAAATAGTTATAACAGCAACTTATTATCATTACATGCTTTCCAATTTTTTGTTAAATCATTTCCTTATTTTTTGTGAATTTTTTATGCATTTTAAAATTTTTTTGTATATCTTAAAGTGCAATGCAATTTTCTATGAAAAAACATCTTGGACTGAGACATGAAATAATAGCACTTACTAAATTTCTTAAACATTATTAAAGTAATTACATGTACTGTAAACCTCTTAATGCACTGTAATTAAAACAGGTACTAGTAAGGGTAGAGAAGCAGCTGTGATTTACCTGTTCACCTGACAGGTAAACAAGTTCAAGACATCAATCATTTGGTTTATTCCCGATTGTCCCACTTTTTAAAATTTTAGAGTTCTGATTGTCCCACATTATTTTATGAAGTAAAATGTTCTTAAAAAAACAAGGTTTATATTGTTTGTTTTGCTAAATAAACAAGAATTAATTATTGCATGTTCAAACTTTTATACAATATAAATTTTGTAAAAGCATAAAATATGATTTTTTTTTGTATATCATCAGATTAATGCACTTTTGAGTAAATAAAATAACATTTATGAATCATATCTATAAGGTTACATTTATTTATATAAAACAAATATCAATACTGTGATTTTGATTTAATTGTTTTCGAAAGTTTTTAAAATACATTAAGATATAATGCATGCAATTTAAAGAAAAGTGTAAACTTATTTACGCTGTACACTATACACGAACTTGTTGATGGAGAGATGTCTCCACTAGTCTCTGCACTTTTACCAGTGAAGTCAGATGCCATTTACACAAGATTCTTTATCATACATAATACAATCTGATGGTGGTGACAACAACATCGTTAACTAATTGTAAAGCTTTAAATTTCAGGGGGTAGAGGAATCTGAAGATTCATATTTTGTATATATGTATATATATATAGATCCATTGTGTTACGAAGTTCTCGTCTGTCATATAATCATTGTCCTTGACTTCATTTCCAGGGTTTAGTGACTGCTAAAAACTGTATAGCTTGTTTTCGTCATGTGAATGACTCAAAAATCATAAGTTCTAATATACTAATATATGGTATCATTGCAATGTCTACATGTCCGTCAGACATCATCATTCACATGACCTCGACCACATTTAAATTTTATGGATCTATGAACAAGGTTAAGTTTCATTGGTCAAGGCCGTATCTCAGATGCTATAAGTAGTGGGTCAAATACTTTTGATGTATGGGATGGTTGCAGGGTGTACATGTCTTTGTGACAGAGTTAATCTGACCTTTAGTTACCTCATTTACATGGAACATTGATAATGTTAAGTTTATGTAATACTAGCTGTATAATATAAAAAATAAGGAGATGTGGAAGTAAGCATTTATAGGCAACCGTACGGCCTTCAACAATGAGAAAGCCCATACTGTATGATCGGCTATAAAATGTCCCGATATGGAAAATTTTAAATAATTCATTTGAGAAAACTAACAGCCCAAATAAATAAACAATTTACCAAAAAAATTATGGCAAACATGAACCAACGACAACCACTCAAATACTGGCACGATTCTGACTTGGGATAGGTATATACAGAATGTATAATCCTTTTCTCAAAGACTTTCTACAAAATACAGTTAGTTAGTAAAAATGCTGTTCCAGTAGAATCCTAGTTTTTACGGTAATGATGTTTATGATCATACTTTTCAAAGACTATTGATGACGTCCTTCCATTAGCTTTCAATAAGGGGACGACCATTTGATTTCGAAAGGGGGAGGGGAGGAGGATTTTGAAAATGAATAACTTGGCCCGGTATTAACTGAAAATAAATGACTTTGCACAAGACAGGATGAAAAATTGATATGTATTTTTATGCCCCCGCCGTCCGTTTTAATGAATTTTTCGTTTCCATTCTCTAACTTAAGTTTGCCTCAACTAAATGTTATGAAACATATACACAATGCTTATTACAACAAAACTCAGATCAAGTACAAATTTGAGTAGCATCACTTTTACAGTTCTTGAGTTATGTCCCTTTATAACGTAATATGCAAGCAGGGGCATCATCTGTGTCCCATGGACACATTCCCTATTTATTTTACTTAATATTATATTCTATGTTTGATGATACTTCAATTGTACCTATTCTTTGCAAAATAAAATATGTACATATTCATGATTATTTGTTCATCTTTATTTCATATTTTATAATTTACACTGATTGTTTACCTATAACTATTCCTTCTACTGTTCTACACCCTATACAAACAAATTAATCACTATCAAAACAATTCTCGATTGTCCCACATTTAAGCTTCCCAATTGTCCCACAAACATATTCCCGATTGTCCCACATTTCTTTACTTTTTTACCTGTAATTTTAAAAAGTGGGACAATTGGGAAGACACCATCGGTTTTCAGAAGTTGTCCTTCTTGTTTGACCAGTTTGAATCTAATAAACGTTAGTGAATAAATAATTTAGTTTGTCTGATTAAATTCAAAAGGTTTTAAGTGAAAAATTGCATTGTCTGCATAGGGACTTTTGTGCACATGGTTGTAGATGTGATGTATACAGAAGTTTTATGAAGATAAATAAATAAATTGTGTAAATTATGATTTATGTTTCTCTCAAGTATTTATTTGAAGAAACATGAATCAGCAAAAAGCTTCTAGTTTTAAGACCTCAACCATTATTCGAATTATCAATGTTTATGCACTATTTCAAACATAACCTCTTTAACAAGTAGTTTGAGAACAGGGAGTGTTAATCTATGTAAATGTATCAGTGCATGACTCTATAATTTTTTTTTTGTGGAGATATCACTAAAGACAAATATTGATGTGACAGGCACATGAACTTACGGTAGAGTAAAACCCGTTTTTATCAGACCTCTATCCTCTTTTTTTTATCTCAATTTGTTCCTATTTTTGAAACTATTGATGTCCAGTCTGCATCCATGCCCAGTTTACCTTCACAACCGTACTGATACAGAAAAGGGTCAAACTTATATGAATTAAATTTTGAAGATGGTATCATGACGTATAGTTCTTTACATACTTTGGCCTCTGATGGATAAAAATGGTTGTGGCCAAGATTGTTTCCAATTTGTCCAGAAGCTTCAGAGGAGAAAGTTTTTATAAAAGTAAACGGACAAAGCCTGACACCAAGTGACGACAAGAGCATATCTAACCAGTTTGCAAACCCACCTAATGAAATAATACAGTGACATGATTCAACACTTGTCTATGTTGTACACTGTACACACTCCTTTCAAAACATGATAAATTAAATAGAGAAAACTATTTGGATTTTTAATATCACACCCATAACAACTTGAGACACCAATATTTATTATTTTGGTTGACAATGGTTGAGGGTCAAAATATTGTGTTGTATTGAAAAAGCCATTTAATGTACACTTTATTACTTACCTAAAACAGAGGTTTTTCTGTTGGGATTTGATGCCTGTGCAATCGTAACTGATATCAATATCATCATGATTACCATTTTTTTGTATTACAAATAATTTACGGGTATCTACTACTTTTATTAGTAAATATCATAAAAAAAAATATTGCCGTGACATATATATCTTAAAATGCTCCCTTGTGTTTCCACTTCTTACCAATGTAAGTGATTAAATGATACACTGACATGACTACAGCCACTGTCTGATACACTGACATGACTACAGCCACTGTCTGATACACTGACATGACTACAGCCACTGTCTGATACACTGACATGACTACAGCCACTGTCTGATACACTGACATGACTACAGCCTCTGTCTGATACACTGACATGACTACAGCCACTGTCTGATACACTGACATGACTACAGCCACTGTCTATGGTTAATATTCACATCATCACTCCTATAGCAACACTTAAAACTAACTTTACACAGCCTCTATGTATAAAGTATACTCACATTTCCACTCCTTCCCAACACAGGTGATAAAATGATACACTGACATGTACAAACTATGGAATGATATTAAACATATATACATCTGAAATATAAAAAACATATATGAAGATATAAAATTTTAATAACTGATAAATTCTCTCTAAACTATTCATTTCAACATTTGTTTAATTGCTTTCCAATTCATTGTTTATGTTCATGCAAACAATTGAATGACACTAATAATAAGATCATTGCATTAGCTACAGGTTATTTGAAACAAAAAAATTCATACACATGAGAGAAAATATGCATTGATCTCTGTATTACTCATATGTACATGTACAGTTGTATCCTAAATCAATTAAACAATCTCTTTTTTGACAAAGCTTTTCTTTACATTTATGCTTTAAAATGATACAATTCAATATAAACAAGTGTATCTTTACAAGGTTTAGCTCCCCAATGGTAGCATAAACCAGAGTCAAGCTTAAAAATATTTTGCACTGTGTGAATTTGTTATTACCAGTACTTATTATTCCTCATATAATAAACTGCTTCGTTGAGCGCAGCTGGATCCGATACGCCTGCAGAGGTCAAACCCTGAACAGTTGGGGCAAAAATGGTCACAATATTCAAGCTTGATACAGGTCTGAATTTGGATTGTAATTAAATATTTGACATATTATAGGTTTCTGAATAAATGTAGTCAAAGGACTTGAAATTGGTTATATGAATTGAATTTATATTCAATTAAAGATTTCTTGCTGTTGTGCAATACACTGTGCTGTTGCGCAATACTTAGTAAATCTGTTGTCAGACTATAAACAAATAAAGTTCAATTTCTTCTCAATGTCATATTTGAAATTTATGATAATCAATAGGGAGATTACATCAATAGCTATAAATAATTCACCAAAGTTTCATGAGAACTGCTGAAAGCATTTTTGAGTTATTGTCCAAAAACTGGAAAATCCCCCCTTTTTTAATGAATAAAACCCCATAACTCAGAAATGTAAAATCTAAATTTATAAAATTCTAAAGGGAGCGTACATCAACAGATATAAACAATTCATCAAAGTTTTATGAGCACTGCTGAAAGCATTTTTTAGTTGTTGTCCAAAAACTGGAAAATCCCCCTTTTTTTATGAATAAAACCCTTTAACTCGGAAACGTTAAATCTAAAATTTATAAAAATCCAAAAGGGAGCTCATATCAATAGATATAAATAAATTGCTTCGCTGAGCGCAGCTGGATACGACCGCAGATGTCCAACCCTGAAAAGTTGGGCCAAAATGGACACAATATTCACGCTTAATACAGGTCTGAATTTGGATTGTAACTAAATTTTTGACATATAATAGGTTTCTGACACAGAAAAACTGTAGTCAAAGAACTTCAAATTGGTTATATGATTTGAATTTATATTCAATTTATTGCTTTTGTGCAATACACTATGCTGTTGCGAATTGACCCCCCCCCCCCCCCCTACCAAAAAAAATTTATTTTACCCCTGTTTTTTGCTTTTGTACAATATACTATGCTGTTGAATATTAACCCCCAAAAAAAATATTTGAAGAAATTTTCTTTAATTTCTGAAATCTGAAATGAGAAAAATTGTCCCCCCCTCCAATTTTTTTCACCTCCCCCTTTCCCTTATTCCCTATAAAAAATCTTTCCCTCAAGATATGGTCAGTATCTCAATTCAAATTTCTAATGCAGTTTGCAACCAAAATTACCCATTTAAATACATCATAAAAGTTTTAAAATATAAAATGACATACATAGTCATGGCTAAAATTAATATAAGTTAATAGTTACTACTAAAAATAAATTGACAGCTAATCACCTCAAGACAATCATCATTTCTTAATACATAATTTACAAGCAGTGTTAGGGAGGTAATCAAACAGTGTTCTTTAATTTGAATTGGATTACCTCCCTTACACTGCTTTTAAATTGTCTCAATTGTCCTTTAACCAGAAAAACCCTTGTTTTTCCCCTTTTTTTGCCCCTAATTACTAAATGGTTTGAGCCATAACCCCCCAAAGTCAATCCTAACAATCCCTTTGTTGTATGGAAGTTTGTGGTATAATTTCAGAGAGATTCATACACGTTAACACAAGTTATTGTCTGGAAACTACAAAAATGCTTATTTGGGCCCCTTTTTTGGCCCCTAATTCCTAAACAGTTGGGACCATAACCCCCAAAATCAATCCCAACCTTTCTTTAGTGGTTATAAACCTTGTGTTAAAATTTTATTGATTTTTATTTACTTATACTAAAGTTATTATCCGGAAACCATCTGTCTTCGGACGACGCTGACGACGACGACGACAACTTGATACCAATATACGACCAAAAATTTTTTTATTTTTGCGGTTGTATAACAATTCACCAAAAATTTCTTAAAAGTTGGTGAAAGCATTCTTGAGTTATTGTCGGAAAACTGGAAAATCCCCCCTTTTTTAATGAATAAAACCCCAAAACTCAGAAACAGTAAATCTGAAATTTATAAAAAAACGAAAGGGAGCCCACGTCAATAGATATAAACAATTCAACAAAGTTTCATGCATATTGGTTAAAGCTTTTTTGAGTTAATGTCCGACATGTTGACGACAGACAGACGGACAGAGGGTCAACAGTATACCATAATACGTCCTGTTAACGGGTGTATAATAAAGGTTAGGTTCCTTCTCTCTACAAAAAAAACTGAAAATACAGCATATATTTTAAAACTCAAATCCTTCAAGGGTTCAATACTTCCAGATTTTAACTGAGAATGCATCTTGAAGACAAATTTTCATGATATAATCTTAAAGAGGAACATTACAAATTGGCAACAAGTGGAAAATCAAGAACAGACAGTTTACAGCTAAAAATGAAATTTCAGGTGTATTTTGTAAAAATTTTGAAAACTTTATAAGATAAGCATGTACAAAGAATGGCTTACATATTATACATTAATTATACATTTAGAGAAGAGATACATTTTTTGAAAGATATTTATCATTAGCTTGAATACCAGTACATGGACCCTACTTTTTAAAAATGACATTTGGCTTGATTCTGTTTAAAGCTTATTTGTACATATTTTTATGAACAAATCACCAATGAATTTTTTTAAAATTAGATAAATATACAAAAAAAAAGAAGCCTTTTTCAAAAAAAAACCAAGAATGTGTCCATAGTACACGGATGCCCCACTCACATGAACCTGAAGCGGGACAGTATCATTTTCTATGATCAGTGGACAGTGAAATTGGGGTCAAAACTCTAATTTGGCATTAAAATTAGAAAGATCATATCATAGGGAACATGTGTACTAAGTTTCAAGATGATTGGACTTCAACTTCATCAGAAACTACCTTGACCAAAAACTTTAACCTGAAGCGGCACAGACGGACAGACAGACAAACAGATGCGGACGAACGAACGGACGCACAGACTTAACTATGTAAAAAGGTAATGTTTTTACAAATAACTGCATGTGTTTATTTTTTGTAACAAAAAAATAAGATACCTCTATCCAAAGGAGTTTTGATTTTAGTGGATTATTTGTGATATAAATTTCTACCTGACCACAAAACATTTAACTGTTTTATGACTGAGACTGGTAAGTAATTAAATTCCTGTAAAATACTTACTGTAAATAAAACAAAAAATTTTTGGTTATTTTCTCCAACACAATTGTTAACCCATGGACAATGATGATCCATCTTTTTTATACACCTCTGACAGACACTGAAATACAGGCAATGCATTTGTATAGTCTTTGTAATAAACATGATAAATGAACCCCTCATTTCTAAATAGTTTTCCATTGACATAATTTGTCACTGTGGAGTTACTTCCCTTTGTCACCAAGTTGTAGGGCAATGCATACAAATTCCTTAATAAATCAACCAAATTCAACATGTACAAGTAATATTTATCGGTAAACTTTAGAAAAAGTTGTTTCTATATCTATTTTGATTTGTTTAACACTTGTTTGATTCATCACTATGATCTAGAAAGATTCTTCTATCAGACTTGCATGTACCACATGTTAAAACTTGGTTTGTAAATTAGAAAATCAATCTGTTTGCCCTACAACTTGGCTGCCAAAGGAAATAACTCAGTTTGCACTGTTAGCCACTAGTCCGATGCCCCTGACTAGTAAAATTTTATTCTGACTAGTAAGTTTTTGCAAAACATAGTTTGGGCACTACAGGAAAATGTCAGAATATTGGCCTTCAGACTAGTAGTTAGAAAAGAACTCTAACTCAAATTATTCCAATGGAAAAATATCTATAAAATTCAGATAACATATAACACACTTTACACTTGCATCCTAATCTTAGCAGGATGAAATCCTTCCTTAAATATTTTCTGAAACTGATCTATCTATTTTATCAATGTTTATATTCTTTCTTCTCCTGTAAAAAAATGTTCCAAAAAAGCATAAAGGGAAGAGTAAGAAAGGGTGTGTGAAGCACATGTCAGTAAAAAAAATCTATTCTAAAGATAATGAAGTTTTATATCTATTTCATAACATTTACATAACTTTTTTAGGCTGAAGGCTATCTAAATAAATCTCAGAAATTTCTCATTTAATATTCATTGCACACACTGATTTCTAACAATATATTTTAAGTTTGTCCATTGACTTTTGTTAGTGAGCTACATTTGCTTTTTTTTTCTTTTTGTGTTTTTTTTTTCTTTCTTTTTTTAGTGTGTGTTTATTCTATTATTGCAATTTATATTTAAAATATAATTGCAAAACAATTCTTCTAAAATAACATGAATAACATGTGTATGAATATTTTTTGTAATATATGCATCAAGTCAGTTTAGTTTTTCATATATCTGGAATTGTCTGTAAAAACACAGTTAATCTTTGAAGAATGAAAAATAATGAAATTTTTAAAGCAATAAAATTATTTGATATTGATAAACATGATAAGAATGTCAGTAATTCTATTATAACAAGAAGAATGAATGCTTTGTTATGTTTATAAGACAGAAAATTCTGTAGTGTAAGTAACAATGAAAACTCTGTAATATTTATAAGAACGAATGCTGTATAATGTTATAAGAATGAATGCTGTATAATGTTATAAGAATGAATGCTATATAATGTTTATAAGAATGAATGCTATATAATGTTTATAAGAATGAATGCTATATAATGTTTATAAGAATGAATGCTGTATAATGTTTATAAGAATGAATGCTATATAATGTTTATAAGAATGAATGCTATATAATGTTTATAAGAATGAATGCTATATAATGTTTATAAGAATGAATGCTGTATAATGTTTATAAGAATGAATGCTATATAATGTTTATAAGAATGAATGCTGTATAATGTTATAAGAATGAATGCTATATAATGTATACAAGAATGAATGCTGTATAATGTTTATAAGAATGAATGCTGTATAATGTTTATAAGAATGAATGCTATATAATGTTTATAAGAATGAATGCTGTATAATGTTTATAAGAATGAATGCTGTATAATGTTTATAAGAATGAATGCTATATAATGTTTATAAGAATGAATGCTGTATAATGTTATAAGAATGAATGCTATATAATGTATACAAGAATGAATGCTGTATAATGTTTATAAGAATGAATGCTGTATAATGTTTATAAGAATGAATGCTATATAATGTTATAAGAATTAATGCTGTATAATGTTTATAAGAAGGAATGCTATATAATGTTATAAGAATGAATGCTGTATAACGTTTATAAGAATGAATGCTGTATAATGTTTATAAGAATGAATGCTGTATAATGTTTATAAGAATGAATGCTATATAATGTTTATAAGAATGAATGCTGTATAATGTTTATAAGAATGAATGCTGTATAATGTATACAAGAATGAATGCTGTATAATGTTTATAAGAATGAATGCTGTATAATGTTTATAAGAATGAATGCTATATAATGTTTATAAGAATGAATGCTATATAATGTTTATAAGAATGAATGCTATATAATGTTATAAGAATGAATGCTGTATAATGTTTATAAGAATGAATGCTGTATAATGTTTATAAGAATGAATGCTATATAATGTTTATAAGAATGAATGCTATATAATGTTTATAAGAATGAATGCTATATAATGTTTATAAGAATGAATGCTATATAATGTTATAAGAATGAATGCTGTATAATGTTTATAAGAATGAATGCTGTATAATGTTATAAGAATGAATGCTGTATAATGTTATAAGAATTAATGCTGTATAATGTTTATAAGAATGAATGCTATATAATGTTATAAGAATGAATGCTATATAATGTTTATAAGAAGGAATGCTGTATAATGTTTATAAGAATGAATGCTGTATAATGTTTATAAGAATGAATGCTGTATAATGTTTATAAGAATGAATGCTGTATAATGTTATAAGAATGAATGCTGTATAATGTTTATAAGAAGGAATGCTGTATAATGTTATAAGAATGAATGCTGTATAATGTTTATAAGAATGAATGCTGTATAATGTTTATAAGAATGAATGCTGTATAATGTATACAAGAATTTATGCTGTATAATGTTTATAAGAATGAATGCTATATAATGTTTATAAGAATGAATGCTGTATAATGTTATAAGAATGAATGCTGTATAATGTTTATAAGAATGAATGCTGTATAATGTTATAAGAAGGAATGCTGTATAATGTTTATAAGAATGAATGCTGTATAATGTTTATAAGAAGGAATGCTGTATAATGTTATAAGAATGAATGCTATATAATGTTTATAAGAATGAATGCTGTATAATGTTTATAAGAATGAATGCTGTATAATGTTTATAAGAATGAATGCTATATAATGTTTATAAGAATTAATGCTGTATAATGTTTATAAGAAGGAATGCTGTATAATGTTTATAAGAATGAATGCTATATAATGTTTATAAGAATGAATGCTATATAATGTTTATAAGAATGAATGCTATATAATGTTTATAAGAATGAATGCTGTATAATGTTATAAGAAGGAATGCTATATAATGTTTATAAGAATGAATGCTGTATAATGTTTATAAGAATGAATGCTGTATAATGTTATAAGAATGAATGCTATATAATGTTTATAAGAATGAATGCTGTATAATGTTTATAAGAATTAATGCTGTATAATGTTATAAGAATGAATGCTGTATAATGTTTATAAGAATTAATGCTGTATAATGTTTATAAGAATGAATGCTATATAATGTTTATAAGAATGAATGCTGTATAATGTTATAAGAAGGAATGCTGTATAATGTTTATAAGAATGAATGCTATATAATGTTTATAAGAATGAATGCTATATAATGTTTATAAGAATGAATGCTATATAATGTTTATAAGAATGAATGCTGTATAATGTTATAAGAATGAATGCTGTATAATGTTTATAAGAATGAATGCTATATAATGTTTATAAGAATGAATGCTATATAATGTTTATAAGAATGAATGCTATATAATGTTTATAAGAATGAATGCTATATAATGTTTATAAGAATGAATGCTGTATAATGTTATAAGAAGGAATGCTGTATAATGTTTATAAGAATGAATGCTATATAATGTTTATAAGAATGAATGCTATATAATGTTTATAAGAATGAATGCTATATAATGTTTATAAGAATGAATGCTATATAATGTTTATAAGAATGAATGCTGTATAATGTTATAAGAAGGAATGCTGTATAATGTTTATAAGAATGAATGCTATATAATGTTTATAAGAATGAATGCTATATAATGTTTATAAGAATGAATGCTATATAATGTTTATAAGAATGAATGCTGTATAATGTTATAAGAATGAATGCTGTATAATGTTTATAAGAATGAATGCTGTATAATGTTTATAAGAATGAATGCTATATAATGTTTATAAGAATGAATGCTATATAATGTTTATAAGAATGAATGCTATATAATGTTTATAAGAATGAATGCTGTATAATGTTTATAAGAATGAATGCTGTATAATGTTATAAGAATGAATGCTGTATAATGTTTATAAGAATGAATGCTGTATAATGTTTATAAGAATGAATGCTGTATAATGTTATAAGAATGAATGCTGTATAATGTTTATAAGAATGAATGCTGTATAATGTTTATAAGAATGAATGCTATATAATGTTTATAAGAATGAATGCTATATAATGTATACAAGAATTAATGCTGTATAATGTTATAAGAATGAATGCTGTATAATGTTTATAAGAATGAATGCTGTATAATGTTTATAAGAATGAATGCTGTATAATGTTTATAAGAATGAATGCTGTATAATGTTTATAAGAATGAATGCTATATAATGTTTATAAGAATGAATGCTGTATAATGTTTATAAGAATGAAAGCTGTATAATGTTATAAGAATGAATGCTGTATAATGTATACAAGAATTAATGCTGTATAATGTTTATAAGAATGAATGCTATATAATGTTTATAAGAATGAATGCTGTATAATGTTATAAGAATGAATGCTGTATAATGTTTATAAGAATGAATGCTATATAATGTATACAAGAATGAATGCTATATAATGTTTATAAGAATGAATGCTGTATAATGTTTATAAGAATGAATGCTGTATAATGTTATAAGAATGAATGCTATATAATGTATACAAGAATGAATGCTGTATAATGTTTATAAGAATGAATGCTGTATAATGTATACAAGAATGAATGCTGTATAATGTTATAAGAATG